ACCCGGATTGGGAATCGAATCTGAGACCCTTCGATGGGTGGGCCTATACTCTTACCATTGAGCTTCATGGGCCAGGATGAATAACCCCTTCTTTAACAATAGTAAAGCTCGCTTCAAGTAGGAGGGCCTCTCTTTCCTGAGAAATTTCCACTCATGTCCCAATATCATTCCCAAGTCTCTGAGGGCCACCTCTTTCTCCTGCTTCGTACAAGCAAACTTATGGCAATGACCGCATTGGTTTCTCACCACCACCCTGTGAATCTTTGCCTGTCACAGGCTGGCTGCCAGCGCCCCTCCCTGCCCTGCCGGCTGCTAGCCCCCAGCTCCATGACAGGCTATTCACGCAGAGAACACGGCTACGAAAATACAGAAACGCATTTCCCATCTGGCAGCGACTCAAGGCTAAATATTAGATAGGATACGATGGTGTTCATCTACCAGCAAAAAAAGAGAGGCTCAGAGAAACAGAGACACGAGGAGACTGCAGGCAAGAGGGCCAGTGCGTCAGCAGGAGCTAAATTTAGCAACAGAAGCCTCTAACACCATTCTTTCAGGAAAAGGAGCCTTGGGAGGAAAAAAAATAAAAAATTAAAAATTAAAAATTAAAAAAAAATAAAAAAAATATATATATACACACACACACACACACACACACACACACATATTTAAATTTTAAGAGAGGGAAAGAACCCCTGTCCTAACTGACCTGCTGCTACTTCTCAGAAACCAGTGTGGAAAAGGAGCTCTCTTTGGGAGACTGGGCCCAAGGTCAGTGGAAGGGCCATTCCAGACCCAAGGAACCAAACCCCCTAGTGGAACGTCCCCATGGCCTGCTGAGAAATTTCTCTGCATGGCACAAAGGAAGCTGCAGGTTGGGATATTCAGTGGTAATTGCTGGGGAGAAGGGAGCAGGTGGATTCTAAACACTGGAAATTCTGGAAAAACCTGTAACACAGCTTACAAACAGATGTTGTTTTCTAGGAGAATGGCTGGTGTAAAACCCCTCACCATCCAAGCACCAGATGCCTACAGGGAGAATTTGGGCGCCGGGGAGAAAAGACAGAGACGTCCCAGGCAATGCAACGTAATGCATCGGAGCACAGTGTGGGGCCCAGTTCGTGCCCAGCTCTGCCTGAAGCCAGCTCAGTGGAGTGGGGCCAGATACCCCTCTCTGGGCTAAAGATAAAGGTAACAGGACATTTTAACATACTAAGATATTAAATATTTTTGGATGTATGTGAAGGAAAGAGGGAAGGCAACATCTGAATTAGCCACCCACCCACCCACCCACCCCCCTTAAGCCTTCTGCCTTGACCTCAACAATAAACCCATTCTTTAAAACATTTCATCACGCTCATAAAAATGCATTGGTCCCCACAGAAAACTCATCGTTTTACTATAAAAAGAGTCCTCCTGTTATCAATGGAAGTGGGGTTTCCCTTTCCCCACTGGATGCTGAGGGTGGGGTCCTTACAGTATCTCAAGAAAAAGAATTTTCTGAGACTCGCACAGGAGGATGAGTGATTTTTATTTGTGTGAAATTACATCCCCGGGTTTCCAAAGTCCCATTTCCCTTACTTCGGTCCTGGAAGAAGCACAAGTGGAGAGTCAGTGGAGCTAAAAGCAAAGCCGGTGTCCAAAGTTTCCCTTCCATGTTGGAATTGGGTCGCGTTTAGCAGTAGGCTAGCTGATGTCTGTTAGTCCATTGTGTGGGGTCCATGTGGAAAAATGCAAGAGAGCAGGAGTGTGAGAGTCCCATAGGCCAGGAGTCAACCAAGAGGAACCAAGAGAGACCAAGAGAGTGAACGTCTTTGTTTAGGGGACTAAATATTCCAAGTCTTTCCCCGTTTGCAATAGCCATGCCTACTCTGGCCAATAGCCTGTTTCCAGGAGGGTAGACAGTCAGCATCCCTGTTTTATGAAAAAGCAAGTGAGGCTCAGGAATTGAGGGCAGGAGCTCAGATCCGCCTAACAATCCTGGACTCTCTCCCATCCACTACTTGCTGACTCCAGGTCCTCCTCAGCCAGCCAGGGACTGGGAGGAGATGGGACCCTGGCATCCCTAGCCCATTGGCCAGGGGCATGCCTGTCTGCCCACCCTTCCCACAAAGTGGGAATTTATCTCATCCAGGCTTCCATCTCCTCTCTGGAGCTTCAACCTCTAGTCTACCAGATGTACTTCTCACCTGCAACTAAACATGCTCAAGTATTCCTCTTTTTAAACCTTCCCTGGATCCTCACACACCATTTCCCTTTCTTTCACATTCATATTATCAGGAATGACATCACATTCCCTCTACTTTACCATTTCCCTCATTCATCCCCAGCTCAATTCTCTGTCCCTGCTCCTGCTTCCATAATGAGAAGGTTCAGGGAAATTAGGAGAACTTCCTATAAAACTCAGTGATTTAGTTAACTGTCTCATCTTTACTATTCTATCACCTCATAGACCAAAAACTTCTCATTTGCAATGTATGAGTCAGAATTTGCCCTTCTGTGCTTGATGGAAACCACCAGAGTTGACATGGCTTAAATAGGGGGAAATGGAATTCATGTGCGCTGAGGTGTCTGGCCTACCTATCTAGTTTCAGGCAAAAAAGCCTAGGAGCTCAAATTTCCAGGCTCTGAGTACCTGTCCTTTCTCCATTTAGTGAGCAAGATATTCACCATCAGTATTACATTTACATCCTACTAATTCCAGGAAAAATAGATTATCCTCCCCAAGAGCTTGGGAGAAAGGTACCAGGAAGGACTCAACTGACTAGAATCACCTGTCCACTTCTAGGGATGACAGGGCAAGGGTCAGCCTTACCCAACCACACAGCATAAGGTGCTCCCTTCCTAGAAGGGAGTGGGAAATGCTGGAAAGGAAATCAACAACAGATTTCCACCTAAACAAATCTCTCCCACTCTAAGAACAAATTAGTTCTTGGCACAGGCATTCACTGGCAGCAGTAAGCAGGAATGACACCCAGGAAAAATGAATGATTAATTAACATTCCAAATACTACAAAAATGCCCAAATACTACAACAAAAATCTATATGAGATCATGATTTTTTTAGTCAAGTTTACTTAGGTATGATTTTTTTTTTAAATATATTTTTATTGATCAGAAAGGAAGAGAGAGAGATAGAAATACCAATGATTAGATAGAATTATTGATCAGCTGCCCCTTCATGCCCCACACTGGGGATCGAGCCTGCAACCCTGGGTAGATGCCCTGACCGTGAATTGAACCGTGACCTCCTGGTTCATAGGTCAATAATCAACTACTGAGCTGCACCAGCCCAGCGGTATGATTTACATATGGTAAAATTCACCCTTTTAGTACAAATTTTAGTAAATGCATACAGTTATGTAACCACCACCACAATCAAAATATAAAACATTTCTATCAACCCTCAAAATTCCTTGATGTCAACCCTAACCCCCATTCCTGGCCCCTGGCAACCACTGATTTGATATGGCCTTATAACTAAACAAGATATTCTGAAGTTGTATTTCCAGAATATCTTGAAGTCATTCAGTGTGTAGCTTGTTGAGTCTGGCTTATTTCACTTACAATGCATTTGAAATTCACCTGTGTTGGTGCATGTATCAGCAATTTGCTCCTTTTATTACTGAGCACCATCACTGATATAGATACAGGGGTTCTTTAATTCACCTACAAAAAAATTGATCTAAGATATCCATAAGATACCCAACATATATCATTATTTAATATCTTGGTTCAACAAATATTTGTTTCCTCGGTATACCCAGAAACAGGGTAATATCAATGAGCAAGATAAAGTCTTGGCGCTTACATTTAGAGATAGAAAATGAAGAAATGTGTGTAATATGTCAGGAGGTGAGCAATGACATGAGGCAAAATAGAACAGGCTAGAGGAAGAGGGGCGGAGGAGGTTGCAATAAAGTGATCATGGAAAGTTCTAAGTCACTCAGAGACAGCAAGGGCCATAAGCCTTGCGACTACCTAGAGCAGGGATGGGGAACATCTGGCAAGGCCTGTGAAATCATTTGATCTGGTCCTGCCAAAGCATCGTTAAATGTTTGACCAAATATAGCTGGCTAATTTTTAAGCTGGTACCCTGCAAATGATGTTAGAAATATCCAAATGGCCCTGGGCAGAAAAAAGGTTCCCCACCCGAGCTAGAGGAAAACATTCCGGGCAGAAGGAACTGCCAGAGCAGAGGCCCATGGCCTAACTGAGCTCAGTGTTTGAGGAACAAGTTGAGCAAAGGCTATGGTAGCACATCAAGGGCAGAAGAAGGTGGGAGGTGAGGTGGGAGGAAAGGTAGGGCCTCACAAACCAAGGTGAGGCCTGTGGGTTTCACCCTAACAAGATGGGAACTTATCTCATCCAGGCTTCCATCTCTTCTCTGGAGCTTCAACCTCTGGTCTACCAGATGTACTTCTCACCTGTAACTGAACATGCTCACGTATTCCTCTTTTTAAACCTTCCCTGGATCCTCACACACTATTACCCTTCCTTTCACGTTCATATATCATGAATGACATCACATTCCCTCTACTTTACCACCTCCCAATGCCCCAGGAACTTGTTGCTATCTGGGTGTCACCTACAGCACTGTATGTCACCTCCTGCTATAGTCAATCACATTCTCAAAAACAAGTCTTTCTGTCCTGAAAGTCTCTTTCCTTGGCTTTAGTGACACCAAGTTCTCCTGGCTTCTTCTATGTAGACATTCCTCAGCAAAGAGCACTGGCTATGGTTTTGGGCAATCACCATACCAGCTGTCCAGCTGCCCCCGGCAGTGTCAGGGATGTGGCTCTACCAGACACCCCGCCACAGCCAATCAAATATATAATGGCCCACTTTACATCAGCACCCTTCTAGTCTCTACTGCAACCGATGGGTGAGGAAGAAAAGAAGTGGGGGTGGTCATCATGCCCACGCTTGAAGTGCTCCTGTGAGACATCCCCAGGTTTGCCTCTCCCACGTTGCGCACCCAGGATGTGAGGAACACGCCTTACCTTCCACCAATCAGAGGGCTTCTTTCTCCATCCGTTGGGGCATCCTTTTTCTCCACCACGCCCGCCCTCATGAATGCAGATGTCACCAGAACAGCGATTACACCTAATATGAAAATTTGAGTTAATTACCTGTCATTGGACTTAGAAGATGCCTTTGCCATGAAAAGTAGATTCTTTCTGTGAATTTCTCCCCCAGACCCCAGATACCTTACTTTCCTACTCTGTGGGACTTTTTTCTGTCTTTCTTTAAAAATTAACTTCCTTTGGGGGAGAGGGGGGGAGAGAGAGAAAAAAAAGAAACATTTCTGGCTGTGGGAAGGGGGAAGGGGAAACAAGCAAATACAGTGAGGTCCCCCTGGCCCCCATCTGTTCCAAATCTTCCCCTCACAGGATATAATGTCTAAAAAGCAAGGGGAGGGGGGGGGAAGCCTTCCTCTTCCAACATCCAGCAGGATCTTGCATGCAAAAGGAAGAATGTCTGGTTACTCTGTGGGTTTTCATCTGCTTTTTAACTCACATGTTGCGGAATTACACTGGCCCCTCAATCCCATTCCCCCCACCCCCCCAAAACCCCAGTGTTATGCGGCCAGGAGACAGCAGGGTTCACTCCTAGTGAGGAACATCCTGGCTTTGGCAATGAGCTCCCTCCCCTCCACACCACCAACCCTTTTGGCACAAAGGATAAGTTCTAAACATGACCAATGACTTTTGCAGATTTCTTAGCGGAGACATGCCAGAGGGATGCCTGGTCCCTCGGAGGAGGTGGGGCCGCCCCCGGGGGTGAAAGGGAGTGGGCTCAGAATCCTGAACTTCTTATTCTGCGCTCTCGCCCCCGCTTCCAGGCACTGTGCATGCGGATGTACACAGGCAGCCAACTCTTGGACATCAGAACAGGAAGGATGTCTCCCAGTAGCTGATACAGGCCTCGCTGATACCTTTCCAGGACTGGGAAGGTGATATTTATAGGGAGGGCAGTTAGCCAAACTAGAATAGCTCCAACTTACTCCAGCCAGCCCCTTTTTCCATCTTCTGCAGTTGTTCAAGTTACATGAAGAGGCATTCCTCCCCAAATTGCTTGATTTTTACGCAAGGACACAGGCTCTTGTTAACATGATTGAGAAACCCTGACTGCAAAGGTGGAAAAGACCTGCCCTGCCCTCTCGGCTCTTCATCTTCCTCTCTTCTGTCCCCCAGCCACCTCCAACCTCCTTCTGGGCCCCCAAGCTTGCTCCTTGGCACATGCTGCTTCTTTATGCCCCCACAGCACGGGTCTCCCTGTGGTCCTCCAGATAAACAACCTCTCTCTTACTCCTTTATCCTTTCCTCCAGCCCTCTCACCCCTTCTTATCACATCCTAGAAGACCCTATCTGGTTTACCCTTCCTCACTCACACTCTCCACTGACCTGGCTTCCTGCCACTCTCTCCTTACAACCTACTGCCTCCTTGCTGTTGCTAAAACATACCAACTTACACACACACACATACCCATATGTAGGTCAGGGCCTTTGTACCTGCTGTTCCCTCTACCTGGAACCCCTTCTCCTAGGTGTTTGAAGGTCCAGCTCCCTCAGATGATCTAGATTTCTGCCCCAAACTACTCTCTAGAGAGGCCTTGCGAACACTGTAATAAAAAGCTCCCCATCCCTCCATCACTCTCTAGCGGCTCCATCCCATGCCTGCTTTATTTTAATTCACAGCATCTTTCACCACCACCAAAGGCTCTCTCCCTGACCAACCTTTACTCAGGCTCCTCCTCCGAGCCCGAGTCTCAACTAGACCTCAACCTTGACCCGCCTTCAGCAGAGAATCCTGCTAGGTCATCCCCTCCTCTTGATATCTGATCAAGCTCCTCATCCCCATCTCCGATGGGTAAGTCTTTGGCCTGCCTTCCGCAAGAATCGTGTGTTTCATTGGTTCTGCAAGAATCCTCCTACCCTTGATGTCTCCATCCACTGATCCCTTCACTTTGTGGGTCATAAATCCCCAGCTGTCACTGCTGTGTTCAGAGTTGAACTCAATCTTTTTTCTGTTGCAATAGTCTTGAATAAAGTCTTCCTTGCCATTTTAATACCTAAGCGTCTGAACCATTTTTCATTAACACCACCTGACATCACAGGACCTTTGTGTTTACCTGTCTCCCTCCATTGGGCTGTGAGCTCCCGAAGGCAGGTCTCTGTGCTTGCTCTTTTCTGCTTCCCTAGCTTCTAGAATGGTATCTGACACGCAGCAGATACTCAACAAACACTTGTTGAGGAACAAATCTAACTTCCCCCACTTATCACTTTTTTAAAGAAAATAAAAATAGCATATTTTTTATTGATTTCAAAGAGGAAGAAACTGGGAGAGATAGAAACACCAATAATGAGAGAGAATCATTGACTGGCTGCCTCCTGCACACCCCACACGGGGAATCGAGCCTGCAACCCAGGCATGTGTTCTGACTGAGAATCAAATGGTGACCTTCTGGTTCATAGGTCAATGCTCAACCACTGAGCCATGCCAGCTGGGCCCTTAGTTCTCTCTTGATCTCAGCTTACCTGCCACCCCCTCTGGGAAGTCATTCCTGAATCTTCCAAGGCTTGCCCCTGTACTTCACCGAACAGTGCTCATACTGTTCACAAGGGATAGTTCTCTGGTTTGTTTGATATGCACATTTAATTTAATTAGGTGACATACTAGCATACAGAACAAAGCACTGAAGTCTATGGTGACCCCCTGCCCTCCCGCCCTCCCACACCTCCACAGCACCCCACCCCTGGCTGTCTTCTCTGTATGGGCATCGGTGTACACACCGGTCTGCATGTCTCCACTCCCCCTTTCCCCACAAACGTTCCCTGAGCACCGGCTTCATTTAAACGGGAGGAAGAGGAGTCCTGGCAGGACTGAGAGCCAGTTCTCTGCTCCCAAAACCAGCTTTGCACCCATCTTTCTGGCTTTCTCCACTCACAGGACTTCTGGGGCTGCCCGGTAAGAGGGGCGTGGCGTCTTCAGGGCCAGACACCCCCAGATCACTCCTCCACTCCCAGCAAACTGACAAGGCCCGCCCGGCTCAGAGTGAGCGGCCCAGGAGGCGGGGATCCTGGGGGGCATGGCAGGAGGGTCCGTTAGACCACAATGGACCAGGGCCCTGGCGGTGGTGGTGAAAGGCAGGTCTCAGGGGGTTGCAGAAACCGCCCAAGTAGGTTTCCACATGAAGGAAAAGTAAACAGATGAAGGCTCTTCCTCAGCCCTTGGAGCCTCTCTGAGCAGAACAACCCTTCACGTGCTGAAAAGCTAATCCGATTGAAAAATGCTTTGAAAGGGCTGGGAGAGGAAGTGCTGACTCCTGACCACCCCGCCGCTGGCCTGCAGCCTGAGTGTGGTCCCCTTCCCCTCCCTCGGCCCTCCGTCTGGGGGCAGCTATACACACAGTCCCAGAGGAGCAGGAAGGTACCTGGGGCAGAAATGGGAACCTACCCTGGTCCACTTAGGGCTACTGACTCCTCTTCCTGCCGAGACAGAGGGCTTCTGGAGAGCAGAAAGCTGGCTGAGATTCGGAAGAGCAGACTCCGCGCAACCTTCACCCCAACGCTCCACTCACGCCTTAAGACACCTGGAGGAGAGTGAAGTGCCTGCTTCCGCCGAGGAGCGTCATTCCCCCACTCCACCCTCACCTCCACCGCAGCAGCTGGGCCTCGTTTCTGGCAGCCAGCAACTCCCTGACGCCCCAGGTGAAATGAGTCTCCAAGGGGGCTTGCTGAGCAATGAAAGGAAAAGGCGAACCCTCTCCGATGCTCCAGGTTCTGGTTCTCACCCTTGGACAACTTTTTTGTCTTTTAAATATATTTTTATTGATTTCAGAGAGGAAGGGAGAAAGAGACATAGAAATGTCAATGATGAAAATCATTGGTCAGCTGCCTCCTGCACACCCCACTCTGGGGATTAAACCCACCACCTGGGCATGTGCCCTGACTGGGAATCGAACCGTGACCTCCTGGTTCATAGGTCAATGCTCAACCACTGAGCCACGCTGGCTGGGCTCCCTGGGACCGCTGTAACAGACCTGTCATCAAGCTGTGGTGTGACTCGCCCCGCTCCCAGTGTGAGCACTGACAGCACCGCTTCCATCCCCACAGCCTCCACATCTCCCCCCCCACCCCACCCCCGTTCTCCCCAGTACCAGGGCACGTATTTGGGGAAGGTGGGCTTTCGGAGATTGCTCCCTAATCCTAATGCCCTCGCTGGGATTCAGAAGGGAGAAATGTGGTGAATCTAGAGGTTGAATAAATTCCTTTCAACCAGAAGCTTTCATTTAAAAAGAGGACGAGAGCACTTCCTCTGCTCGCTGTACATTCCCTTGTTTAACTTCATCCCACGAGGCAGATTCCATTTCCAAGGTGGTAGGTCTGGGACCCCAATCCAGGCAGTGACACCAGGGCTCTAAGACTTCTTAACCATCGTATATCATGATCCCTAAAGATGGAGTCCCCGTCCCCAGATCACCCCAAACAACGTACATGCTAGGCTGAAAGGGCACAAATGTACACACGCAGAGACACTCATGAAGAAAATGGATGGACAGTGAGGCAGCGACCACAGGTGCTCCAATAGACAGGATTGACACTTGGGAGACAGTTCTAATTACTATATATATATAGTAATTAGAACTGTCTCCCAAGTGTGTGTGTGTGTGTGTGTATATATATATATATATATATATATATATATATGGCAAAGTGTGTGTGTGTGTGTGTGTGTGTGTGTGTGTGTATATATATATATATATATATATATATATATGGCAAAGGGTATCCTGTACAGAGAATTTTTAAATTATTTTTGCAACTTTTCTGATAAACATTTATTGTTTAAAAGTTTAAAATATATATATTGCAAAAGTAATATAGGCCTATAAAAAAAAATTTTTAAGAATACATTAGATAAAGTGAAAAACGGACATCCCCCTTACCAATACTACCAGCCCCATATCACTCTCCAAACTAACCACTGTGAACAGTTTGGCAAATATTAGCACACAAGTCAGACATTCTTTTGTTTTCATTTTTTTAGTAATAGCGAATGCCTACCATAATGTGATGAAAATAACAATCAAAATTGTTGGT